ACTAATTTGATACATTTATTTAAACCAAGCTCTAACAAAGATCATGTGTGACCTTTGGAATGTGCTAATATCCAAATATTGCCTTAATCTTACACTGATGACTTGCACTTCTTCCTTTAAATACTTATATTTTGTACATTTTCTTTGTTTTTACATAATGAGCACACACCCTTGTGTGTTCTTACACAGGGTCTTTTCTATGAGAAGCATCTCCACCAACTTCTGAAATTAAACTGTGAGAGTATTAGAATCAATACATTGATCAAAACATTATCCTTTCCTTCTCTTTGCCTTTTTTTTTTGAAAAGTTTCTCAGTTTTATTTCTTATACACATAATATAAAATGTACATCTTCTTATACATAATTAATTATACATATACATGTTTTCCTTAAAGAAAGCATTAAAATAAGGCATTTTAATTACATTCGGAGTTGCTCTTCTACCCTTTCTTTCCTCATTTTGCAACAAACCTTCTTCTTCTCCTCCTCTTTCCCTTTCCTCCTTTCTCTCCTCTCCTACTTTCTCCTCCCTCCTCTCCTACTTCATCCTACTTCCCCTTCCTTTCCCCCACTCCTCTCTTCTTTTCCCCCTTCTCACCTTCTCTCCTACTCCTGTCCCCTACCCTTCCTTCCTCTCCTTTTTCCTTTCTTCCATTCCTCTCCCTCTCTCTCCTCTTCCTACCCTATATTCATCTCTTCTTTCTATCTTCTTTGCTGTGGAATATTCTCCTTGTTTGGCATCCAAGCAACTCCTATATTCTAATAGTATATACTTTCTTTCAATTTCTTTTCAGATTTATTCGATCTATCAGTATTATCATGATAATTGTATATTTATTCTTATCTTCTTTCTTTCCCCCCCTCTCCCATCCCACTTTTTCATTTTCTCTGGTGTCATCTGGGTTTCTATTTCTTTTTTATCCTCTCCCTCATTTAACTTTCTATTATCTCCTTCTCTTTGCCTTAGTGTAGTCCCATTCCTCTACAGACATAGCAGAAAACAAAACAGAATGCATCGGGATGGTACATAGAGATTAGATCCAATAGTTGAACAACGGGATCATCATTCTCCCATTGAAATCATCCTGGCCAGTTTGATATATTGTAGCAGGTCTAGGACAACTCGCCATAGCCAACTCGCCATGGCCATCTTGCCTCAGCCAACCCAGCGTGGCCACCTTGCTGTAGCCAACTCACTGTGGGACAACTCATTTTGGGCAATCCATGTGGGATAAGTCAACATGATAAATGTTATGCCCCAATGTTTCTTCTACAATTCCATTTTTGTCAATGGAAATAATGTTGAAGAATCAGTGGCAGATAAGGTTTATCATGTTGAGTTATCCCATTTGGAATGTATATATTAATATATATCTAAGATATTTACAGATTCCTTAATATCAATGTACTTGATAATTTAGAGAAACTGAGCATAAACTAGAAGTATGCATTAGAGTCACTTATGACCTTCCAGCATCCCTATGGTCACATGATCAAAATTTAAATGCTTAGCAACTGGAATGTATTTATGACAGTTGCAATGTCCTGAGATCATGTGGCCACCTTTTGCAATCTTCTAACAAGCAAAATCAATGGGGAAAATAGATGCACATAACAACCAGGTTACTAACTTAACAATGATTCACTTAACAACTGTGGCAAAAAAGGTCATAAAATGGGGCAAACCTCACTTAATAACTCTCTTGCTTAGCCATAGAAATTTTGGACTCAGTTGCGGTTGTAAATTGAGGATTACCTGTACTCTATACATTCTTATAGGTCCATGATGGTGAACCTATGGCACACATGCCACAGGTGGCATGCAGAACCATATCGGTGGGCACGCCAGCTGATTTTCGGGCCTTCTGGGCCCACCAGAAGTCAGGAAACTCTGGAGGGCCTCCGGGGAGATGGGGAAGGCCCTTTTCACCCTCCCCAGGCTCCTAGAAAGGCTCTGGAACCTGGGAGAGCGAAAAACAGGCCTACCAGACCCACCATGCCATCGCATGCCAAAAGCAGGAGGAGCACAGGGGGTTGCGTGCACATGCACGGGGACGCATAGAATTACGTGTTTAACACACACACACACCCTGCACTCCCCCTGCTTTTGGCACGCGATGACAAAAAGGCTAGCCATCACTATTGTAGGTTATTTCTATGTGTGGCAATACAGATATAGCTGTGCAGCCTTTTTAGAAGACCTCACCCCTCTAAAGCAGAGTAGGCTTGAAGCCTCATAAAGAACCAGAATTGGAACAGAACAGATATAGGTGCAGATCTACCATCAGATAAATTTATTTCAGTCACTTCAAACTATCATGGAATCCAGATTTCAGGTAAACCTAGTGCTTAGCTCCTTATTAAGTGCTTATTAAGTGCTAGTTTCCTTTGGAGTTAGTCAAGTAAGTAGCATACACACTTTAGTCGGTAAGCAAATAAATAATAGACAAATAAAATATGATAAGGCCATTTTCAGGGTTTCATTTTGCACCAACTAAAGTTTAGGTTTTGATTTCTGTTTTCCATATCGCAGAATATACATTACATTACAGGATCTGTTGCAAGAATGTCCTAATCCTCCCGGCTGTTCTCCCAGCTGAGCTCCCGTTTTCTTTTTGTGCAACAGATTCCTTCTAGTCCTTTTGCAAAAGGAGGTGATCCAACCAAACAATGAGTCATGTAATGGCAGACAAATATAATCATTAATCTGTAAAGCTAAGCAGACATGAGCTGACTTTTTGGATGGGAGGCTGTCTAAGTCTTCATTTATGCTTCTGTGGTCTAATGCCCTGATAGTAGAGATATACAATCTGAGAACAACAGCCTGCAACTGCCCCCCTTCCAAGAAATTTGGGTGAGCCTCTCAAAGACCTCTAAAAGTTATAACCAAGTACTTTGTAAGGTGACATAAATGGGAAATGGTTTAATATATTACTGCAAAGTAATCGTATCAGCTATAATTATAAAACTGTTAATTTTAATTAAATGTAGTGCAAGCAAAGCACAATTCCACCTGGCACGCCACTCAGCAATCAACATGGTTCTTGATGCAGTAAAAATCATACAGCCCTGCGTTAGAACATTTCAACCAGTACACATGGGAAGATGTAAATCTATAATATAAGAGCTTTGCTTTGTGACTATTAATCATATCTCATCAAAACAGTAAGACATTAGAAAGAATCTTTCTTTCTTCTTCTTTTTAGCCTTGCTTTCTGTATAGACTTAATTTTTAAAAAAAGTCATCCATTCAAGTGTAAAAAAAGACAAGAAAAGGGTAGCAAGGGTACAGTATTATACAGATAATATTAAAGCATAGCCAGTGGGAAAGAGTAATTACTTGACTCAGGACCTTAAAGAGCGTACAGTCAATGGAGAGCCTGCAATACAGATGTTACATGTTCCCATGTAACATGTTGGGAGTCAGGCAGCCTATCAATTGTATAAATAAAGACAGCCTCACATAAAGTGCATGCATCATATACAGTAGTTTAAAAGATGGTAATAATCGTGTGAATCTTGTCTCGGGAAAGCCCCGACCTCCACAGTGGTTATGTCTGCTGTGTAGGCAGCTCTACTCTGAGATGCATTTCCTACCTCTCTAGGAGTTGCCTTTAGCTGCTCCTGTGAAGCATTTTCCGGTTCCTGTCATAGCTCTATTTCTATCTCTATCTCTATCTATCTATCTATCTATCTATCTATCCCTAATGATGGCTTATCACTGTTAACTGCATTTTGATTAAACTTCTTGAAACATCTCCCTCTAACAGGAGTTGTGCAAACTTTCTCCTCTAGGGCAGTACCTTCTGATCGGGCCTAGGACTTTTAGTCTCTGACTTTTCATTCTCCTCGGGCGTTTCTCCATGGGTGATTATCCCCCGATTTATCTCCTCAGCTGGCACGCCTCCAGTCATTTGCCGTGGGGAATGGGCCACCGGCCTCTTCGTCACCAGACCCTTTGACACGGCCCATTCACAGAAAAAGGGTTCGTCCTGGGTGTTCCGCCCTCTGTGACAGTTAGCCCCCAACCAATTGGCTAGATGGGGTGTAATAGAAATCCAGCAAAAGGAGAGAGGTGTAAAAGAATTTGTCAAAATGCCTTCCTTCCTTCCTTCCTTCCTCCCTCCCCCATCACCAATACAGGGAGGAAGTCAGGCATTTTGGCAAATTCTTTTACACCTCTCTCCTTTCACTGGATTTAAATCCTAGCATTGAATTTAGTGAGACTTACTTCTGAATAAACCAATTGTTCCTCCCTGTATTGGGGGAGGGGGGAGATCCCAGTTTCCTAGTTACCTTACTTATGCATAACTTCAAAGCTTTGGGAACATGTCCAAGGAATCGCAACAACAATGGTACTCCATATATCTCTATGTATGGCTTTATATGTTTCAGTTATGTTGGACAACAAATATGCTAATAACATCACAGTTAAATCTCTATAGGATCTCTGTAATAAGAACCTGGTAGATTCATAAAGATTCGTGATCTCCACAGCTATGTTGTGGATAGAATACTTATATTCAGAAGCAGTATCAGATACAATTTTTGAGTGTTTTGCTTATCTAGACAAATTCAAGAGCAAGAAATCAGTTTGGGAAAATCTATAGCTTGCAAATGGATCAAAAATAAAAAAGGAGGTAGGAAAACCATCAGCTAGATGCTTATTTCCCTGTCAGTTCAACTATTGGGACTATAGAAATGTACCTTCCCTGGAGCAGTCCCTGACTGAGAAACCTCAAGATCTGAATGGCTCCATCCAGCTGGTGTTTCAAGAGATGCCATGAAGGGGAGCTAATGTGAAGGACTATAGCAGGAGTCCAGACTTGGCAACCATGCTGGCTAGGGAATTCTGGGAGTTGAAGTCCACAAGTCTTAAAGCTGCCAAGTTTGGATACCCCTGGACTATAGTGACATAACTAGAGTCATTGGGAGTCATGCAGCTTATAAATTTAATAAATAATACGTATTTTCTCTTCTGCATCTCCTTCTTTTACAGTTACTGTGACAGTTGGAGGCAGGCAACATTTGCTTGGACTTTATGACACAGCAGGACAGGTAATACATCTCCAGTTTATTTATTGTTTTCAGGCCATAACTTTTTAGTCATGAATAGCAAAGCTGTTTTCCTTTCCTTATGACATTCTGAAATAGACATTTTACATTTCTGCAAAGATAGAAATATATGCAATTCTACAAAAACCATAATATAATTGCCACCCTAAACGTACAATATCAGATATGATGAATAATTTGAGCAAATCCAGTTTTCTGCATCTCAGAGATGTTGCAGGTTTCTCTTGGCATAAAACTTTGACGAGGCTTATATTTCTTATATCATTATGAACAACCACCTCAATGTTGTGGATTGACTTCCTTTATCCTGCTAGCTTTGTTTCTGATCTTTTAAAATTGATTTCAATGTTTGCCTCTGAGAATAAGGTAGTAGCAACTTGAAAATGTGAAAGCCAATCTTGTGGTTTTCACTGGCAACTAGCACCACCTACTGGTTAATTTAAGAGAATGTTTCTAACACTATGTTCCACATAATAGTAGTATTCTTGAACAACTTGTGGAGCTTTGAGTATCTTCAAAGATTCCGAAGTCTTCCTACCTTTTCCTTTCACATTTTTGAATAAGAAGTGAATTCCCCACAACCAAGACCAAATAGCAATTCTCAGTCTCATCCCGTATACTTGTTTGCTCTGACAGGAGGACTACAATCAACTGAGACCCCTCTCCTACCCCAACACAGATGTGTTTTTGATCTGTTTCTCTGTGGTAAACCCTGCTTCCTATCACAATGTCCAAGAAGAATGGGTTCCAGAATTGAAAGTCTGCATGCCACAAGTGCCTTATGTTCTGATAGGAACACAGGTAAATGACCAAAAGGAAACAGTGGACATGTCCATCAGTTGTAGATCAGGATACTCTGTGAAATACAAACTAGTTGGGGAATAGCAGGGAAAACTTTCCTACGATGAATTGTGTTTCATCACAAAAGGATCCAAAGACTTCCAAAAATGAAGGGGGTTGGATGGTTTTTCTTATTTTGGTCCACTGTAATTTCAGAAGTACTGAAAATGAGTATGGAAATCAGTATGGAAGAAGTAACATCTCACCTATGAGTTGGTCAAATAGCTCTGAGCATTTTGCTGATGAAGTTTATTGTTTGAGAATTAGAGAGACAAGGATCTAAGGCTATTTAAGTTTTGTGTTCGTTTATATATTTCTAGATCGACCTTCGAGATGACCCCAAAACTTTGGCTCGATTATTATACATGAAAGAGAAACCCCTGACTTATGAACATGGCATCAAATTGGCTAAAGAGGTACTGTCTTCCTTCAACAACAGTAACAGTAGCTAAATTGATATTATCAGAGTTAAGCCAAAGGCCTTTCTCTTTTTCTCAGGGCTAAGCACACCAGAGATTTCATTCAATCACCATTGCCCCCTAAGAAATACAAAACAATAGATATATCTAAGAGTCTTTGTGGATCTTGATTTTCATTGTATAGTATAATTTATTTTCACCATTGAAAGTCTTTAGTATGCTGGCCCTTAAGAAAAGGGAAAGCTAGAGAGTGGTTGGAGGGCTAGTCGCTCCGAATCCGACTGAACACTAGTTAGGTCTCATATTAAGACCTATCTAGTGGCGATAAAAGCGGCAAAGCGTAACCACTTTTCCGCTCTTATTGCATCGGCAGATAACCGCCCAGCCGCCTTGTTTAGGGTGACTCGCTCCCTCGTACATCAGGGAGCGCGGGAAGACCCCTTGCAAGGGCAGGCTGAGGATTTTGCACAGTATCTGCATGATAAAATCGCTCAGATTCGGGAAGGCTTGGACTCTGACTGGGTAGATCCTGGCGGGGTGACTGAGGCTGGTCTTGAGAATGTTACCTGAGATGAGTTCGACCCTGTGACTCCTGAGGACGTGGACAGGATCCTGGGGAGGTTAAACGCAACCACATGTTTATTGGACCTGTGCCCCTCCTGGCTGGTACTGGCCACCCGGGAGGTAACACGAGGCTGGTTCCAGAGGATTATAAATGCTTCTCTGAGAGAGGGTTTCTTGCCTCCCGCCTTGAAAGAGGCGGTGGTGAGGCCCCTCCTCGAGAAGCCTTCTCTGGACCCGGCCGTTTTGGCAAACTACCATCCAGTCTCCAACCTTCGCTTTGTTGCAAAGGTTGTGGAGAATGTGGTTGCGCGACAGCTCCCACAGTTCCTGGATGAAACCGTCTATCTAGATCCGTGCCAGTCCGGCTTCAGGCCTGGGTACAGCACGGAGACGGCATCGGTCGCATTGGTAGATGATCTCTGGAGGGCTCGGGACAGGGGTTGTTCCTCTGTTCTGGTCCTGTTAGACCTCTCAGTGGCTTTTGATACCATCGACCATGGTATCATGCTGCGCCGGCTGGAGGGACTGGGGGTGGGAGGCACCGTGCTGCGGTGGTTCTCCTCCTATCTCTCTGACCAGTCACAGTCTGTGTTGGCAGGGGGGCAGAGGTCGACCTCGAGGCGCCTTGCTTGCAGGGTGCCGCAAGGGTCGGTCCTCTCGCCGCTCCTGTTCAATATTTATGTGAAGCCGCTGGGTGAGATCATCCGTGGTTTTGGGGTGTGATGCCATCTGTACGCTGATGACACTCAGCTGTACATTTCCACCCCAGACCACCCCAATGATGCCCTCGAAGTGATGTCCCAGTGTCTGGAGGCCGTGCGAGTCTGGATGGGGAGGAACAGGCTTCGGCTCAACCCTTCCAAGACCGACTGGCTGTGGATGCCGGCGTCCCGGTATAGCCAGCTGGTGCCATCGCTGGCTATTGGGGACAAGTCACTGACCCCCACAGAGGGGGCTCGCAACTTGGGCGCCCTCCTGGACACATGGCTGTCTTTAGAAGAGCATATGACGGCCGTGGCCAAGGGGGCTTTTTATCAGATTCACCTGATACGCCAGTTGCGCCCCTTTCTGGATCGGGACTCCTTGTGCACAGTCACTCATGCCTTGGTTACGTCACGCCTGGATTACTGTAACGCTCTCTACATGGGGCTCCCCCTGAGGAGCACCCTGAGGCTCCAGCTGGTGCAGAATGCAGTCGCGCGGGTGATTATGGGAGCGACATGGCGCTCCCACGTAACACCTCTCCTGCGCGAGCTGCATTGGCTCCGGGTGGTCTTCCGGGTGCGCTTTACGGTGTTGGTTCTCATCTTTAAAGCGCTCCATGGCTTAGGGCCAGGGTATTTGCGAGACCACCTGCTGCTACCGATAATCTCCCACCGGCCAATACGCTCTCACAGAGAGGGCCTCCTTGGGGTGCCATCGGTCAGGCAATGTCGGCTGGCGGCCCCCAGGGGGCGAGCCTTCTCTGTGGGGGCACCCACCCTGTGGAATGAGCTGCCTCCTGGAATACGATTGATCCCGGACCTCCGGACCTTCTGTAAAGCCCTGAAGACGTTTTTATTTCATCAAGCCGGCCTAGCCTAAATGGTTTTTAATTGGGATTTTAAATTTTATGGATTTGGGTTTTTAAATTGGGTAGCCAGTGATTTAATTCTTTTAATTATCTTAACTTTTGCATTTGTATGTTTTTTAATTTTGGCTGTTCACCGCCCTGAGTCCCTTCTGGGAGAAGGGCAGTATACGAATTAAATTAATAAATAATAATAAATAATAAATAAAACCTTTCCCAAACTGGTAGCTTTTAGAAATAAGTTCCAGCATTCCTAGACTTTGGTCAATGGAATTTGGGTGGTTGTTATCTCAATATATCTGGAGGGAAATTTCAAAAAACCTGCCTACTTTTAGCGTTGGCTTCTCACCCATTTCAATTATGTGAATAGCCCCCGTTGTGTTGCCATTATTTTAGACTTGATTCCCAGCTTAATAGATACACACATTTTAATTATTTTACTTTTGTTACATTTCTTCCATTGAAAGAACTGATGGAGACAGTTCAGAAACAATGAGTCAGTTGGAGCAGCGCCACAAACTATGAGACCCTTAAAATGCAATGCCTATATTTTTAACTGTATAGTATATGGCAATTTAAGAATTACTCTCCTGTTTTGCCATGGCCTCTATAGAAGACATCCTCAGAAGGTAGGGAGGAGGCAGGGAAATCCTTGGATAATGTTTGAGGGGTGGTCAAAAGGACAAATGAGAAGAAGAGATTCCTGTTGCTAAGGTACCTGCCTGCATTCTCGGGTGCTACAGGGGTATTGCCCTATTGTCCATGGTTAAATAAAATTCATAGTCTGGTCAGTCCTTTATTGTGACCACAAAATGGTTTGGTCCCAATCTTTTTCTTTTTAAGGTAAACTCTTCTTAAGGTAAAGGTAAAGGTTCCCCTCGCACATATGTGCTAGTCGTTTCCGACTCTAAGGGGCAGTGGTCATCTCTGTTTCAAAGCCGAAGAGCCAGCACTGTCCGAAGACATCTCCGTGGTCATGTGGCCGGCATGACTAAATGCCAAAGGCACATGGAACACTGTTACCTTCCCACCAAAGGTGGTTCCTATTTTTCTACTTGCATTTTTACATGCTTTCGAATTGCTGGCAGAAGTTGGGACACGTAACAGGAGCTCACCCCGTTATACGGTGCTAGGGATTCGAACTACCAAACTGCCGACCTTTCTGATCGACAAGCTCAGCGTCTTAGTCACTGAGCTACCACATCCTTTAAAACTCTTCTTAGATCAATCAAAAAATTTGCTATATCTAAACAGAATCATAAATACAATTTGGACCCAGCACTGAACACCAGTGTTCATCTTAAGTTACATTTTGATGGGAATTAGGAGCAAAAGGGGCTAACACCCTCCTGGCTTGCTCCTGGGTTCCCAGAGGCATTTGGTACAAGACGCTAAACTAAGTGGGCCATCGGTCTGATCCCGCAAGGTCTCTTCTTCTGCTTTACTTCTCATTCTCAGCGTTCTTTCTCTTTCTCTTTCCTTCAAGATTGGAGCCCAGTGCTACTTAGAGTGTTCGGCTTTGACCCAGAAAGGCCTGAAAGCTGTCTTTGATGAAGCAATCCTCACAATCTTCAATCCCAAGAGGAAGAAGAAACTTTGTGCCAAGTGTGGCAGCTGCTGTTCAGTTCTATGATGCCTGGAGTTCAAAGTGGACCAGTTGTTGCCAGTTAATAATCCAATCCTGCACAGAGGGACGTGACCAGAAGAAAAAAAAACTACTTTATAAAGTGATTCCTCCTAATCTGTGATTCCTCTCAAATGCAACTTTGTAGACTTTTCATGCCTTGCTTTTTTTTTTTCCCTAATGACTATGCATCTGTAAACACAAGTTCATGTTTTGATAACTTCTCTCTGCTTAGCCAGCAGATACAAGAAAAAAAAAACTTTAGAAATTCTTGATATAATCAGAATCCCTGATGCACCTGGAAAGAAAAAAAAATCTAAGGATCCTAATCCTACACTGAGCCAAGAAGAACAAGCTTTGTCATTAGCAACCCACAGGAAGAAATTAGTAAATCCCAGCTTTTTTTTTTTTTCCTTTTTATGACCCTGTAGTCCCTTAATTCAGGATAGAGTCAGGGTGGGTGGATGCAGCTGAGCATTTACTATCTGGATGCCCTTCCTGACACCTACGTGGAGTTTGCGGCACAGATTTTTTTCGCAGCAGATAGTAAATCCCGGTATGAATATGCAATAATGATTAAACTTGAAACACACAAAATGGCATTTAGACATTTTTTAAGAGTCGACCATGTTGACTCATATAGATCAATCTTTCCAAACTGAATGCACAGCAATGCTTTTGAGAGAGATGGCATAGAATACAAAGTCATTAATGTGCTATTCTTGTCTTCCTTTTATAAATGAAGCATGACCCAAAGAAATACTCTCAGGTTGCATTGTCATGTTGCCATTGGACGTATGAGAATTCTCCTCCTCTTAAATGAAATCTGAAGCTCTCACATTGTGCATTTTTCAAAATCATTTCAAAATAGTAATTGTCTGGATTTGAGAAGTCAGAAAACGCCAGGGGAAATGTACATATGTCCTGTCTGCAAATCTAGACTTTTTTTCTTAGAATTTATTATTATTATTATTCAAGCATAATACATAACTACAATAAGAACTACAAACTGCCCTTTAAACAGTATAAATGAGGTTCCTCAACCTTCAGCTCCCAGAATGGGTGAAGTTCAGCCATCTAAAAGGTTGAGAAACACCAGTGTAGATGGTCTCAGTTCAAATCCAGTTCCTAATTACTAATTTTCTTGACAATGACAAGAAAGCAATTGGCCATTGTTTTCTTCTAGGATGCCTTTAATTTTTTTTTTTATATATATATCTTAGGATAATCCATAGCAGGGGTGAAATCTACTTACCTTCCCAACTGGTTGGGAAGTGTGTGTGCGGGCCCTCTGCATGCGCAGAGGGTAAAAAACAAGTTACTTCCTGTTAAAACCAGGAAGTAATGATGACCAGGTGGGTGGGCGGAGCCTCGCACCGCCATTGCTACCAGTTCTCTGAACCACTGGCCGCCATCCTTACCGGTTCGGCCGAACCAGTCCAAACTGGGAGCATTTCACCCCTGATCCATAGGTCTGGCATTATTTCTTGGTGTCTTCCATCCAAGTACTAACTAAGCCTGTAACTGTTTAACTTCTGAGCCCAGACAGGTTAGGACAAGTGGGGTCACTTACTAAAGATGCTAATTTGCACAATCAAGATCAAAAGGCAGCTTGAGAAAGAATACAAGAAGATCCTGAGAAAATCGGATACATGCATCTGACACACATGGATGTATGATCAACAAACACACAAATACAAACCACCATTCTTACCTCTTTCCCTGACCTGGAAAAACTAGTTGAAAGTACCAAAATGCTTTCTGAATGAAGGATTTTTAGAAGGAGCAGCAGTCCATTAGAAGCAATGTTTGCTTCAGTTTTGGGATGAAGCATAAGCATATACAAAATGGCTTCAACTGCTCTCTTTTTCAGTAGCTTCACCTCTTTCTCCTATAGCTTTTGCCAATTCTGCCTCTCTTGATTCAATCCAGTTGGCAATAATCTATGCAGATGCAAAATGATTTCAATCTGTGGCCTCCTCTGGTGGTATTTGGAATAGATCCCCCTTGCAGAGAGAGGCCAGGTTTGGCTAGCTTCATTAGTTTAGATGCTATGTGATTGAAAGCAATCACAACTTCTGTTCTTTCTATCAGGCTTAACTAGCTATAAACATATAACTTAGAAGCTACTTGTGAGTACGGAAAAATGGTTGTCATTCCAATTGTCACCCAGCTAGAAAACCACAAGGAAGTACCTATTATAACCAAAAGGCTTTTATTGTTGTAAATGCTTTCTTTGCAAATGTTTTCTACAATTTATATCATTGATACATGATTCTTAAAAGAAACATTTTTAAAATATATTTGTATATGTGTGTTTCTTAATGAGTCTGTGTGTGTGTTTATAAATAATAGGGACTTTTTAGCTAATTTAGTAAAGTTTGTTTGATTGAAACTCTCATGCTAGTTATGAGTCCAGGGGTGAAATCCAGCAGGTTCTGACAGGTTCTGGAGAACCAGCAGCGGAAATTTTGAGCAGTTCAGAGAACCGGTAAATACTACCTCTGGCTGGCCCCAGAGTGGGAAAGGAATGGAGATTTTGCAGTATCCTTCCCCCAGGAGTGGGGTGGGAATGGAGATTTTGCAATATCCTTCCAGGGGTGGGTTCTACTTACCTTTACTACTGGTTTGCAACAGGGCTGTGCGCGCACACTTTGCTCACACACAAGCACGCTCTTCTGCACATGCACAGAAGCTTCTGTGCATGCACAGAAGCATTTTGGTGATGTCGGGGTTGGTGGGTGGGGCCTTACTACCGGTTCTATAGAACCGGTGTGAACCGGGGACAACCCACCACTGTATCCTTCCCCCAGGAGTTGGGAAGGAATGGGGATTTTGCAGTATCCTTTCCCTGGAGTGAGGTGGGAATGGAGATTTTACAGTATCCTTCCCTTGTCATGTCCACCAAGCCATGCCCACCAAGCCGCACCATGCCCACCAAGCCACACCCACAGAACCGGTAGTAAAAAAAATTTGGATTTCATCATTGCTCAGGGGGCTGGATGGACGTGGCTGACTGGATGGGCATGGCCAACTGGATGGATGTGACCAGCTTGACGCCACTCCCCAAACTGCTAGCATGTTTCCTTTTTGTATTGGGTAGACTGTCTGAAGCCACGCAGGTCCGATGTTTCCTTTTTGCCTTGGGTACACCGGGCCGATGCGATGCAGGCTGGCTCCTTACATTTTCACATTGTGGACGCATCCAGCCCTCAGGTCTTGTGTTTGACACCCGTGATCTAAGGGATCCTAAGAGGTCCCATAATGAGGTTTCCTCAACCCTGAAACTACTATCAATTACATTACACTCTAAAGGAGGAAGGACCAGAGCTGAGTTGTATAGCACATTCAGTTCCTGGCATCTCAGCTATCATGTGGCGAGAAAATTATCTGCTTAATATTCTGCAGAACTATTGTACTAACAAGACTGTGTTTTCGTTCTGTTTCTCGGCTTAGCTTTGCTCCTCTTAATCTATAAATTCATAAACAACATGAAATCCAGCCTTCTACTCCAAGTGAGATAATATAAACAGCTTCAGTAAGCCTAACTCCTTCCAGAAACCTCATCAGTCTTTTTAAGGATTTAGAGTAGAACATTCTTTTAATGGTGGTGTGAATTTCTCTCCCCTTTAAACTTCAAAGCTCCACTATCAATATATTGATTTAAATCTGCCATGCTATTTTAAATTGTAACTGTAATTTAACCATTTGCTTTAGAATGTTTATGGAAGAAGCTTGGAGGAGCTGAAGTAGCACGGAAATTTCATGAAATAAAATAAAATAAAATAAAATAAAATAAAATAAAATAAAATAAATAAATAAAAAACATATAGTAATGTACACTGTGATTAGATTTAAGGTAGCCTCTTAAATCCTGCAGACAGTGTGTTGTACAGATAAAGTCAGTCCCTGCCCCCCTTAAAGAGATCACCAAGTTCATTGTCATACTAAAGCAAAGGCTGAACAGCTGGATAGGATGCACAAGGACTCTGCTTGCCAACTTGTGATTGCATTCTGACAGTTCCCTTTCCTGGGAGAGGATCTTCTCCTAAAAACAACAGGCGTAAAAGGAACAGCAAACTTGTTTCAACAGACATCAGACAAGATGGCTTTTAAGAGATGTAACTCAAAAGATCCCCAGTTTCTCTGCTGACACAACATCTCAGCACTGTATTCGACAAAATGATGATGGAACTAAATTATGATGATGTCTTTACCAAAGAGATGCTCAAGTTAATCAGATGCAGGGTCTGCTCAATTGAGCGAATTGAAGCCAGTGTGAGCTAGAGGCCTAGATCCCAGGATAGTTCTTGTAAATACTGCACTGATTTTAAATGTTGGCTTTGAGCAATCCTCCCCACAAATGTACCTAATATAGGGAAATCACCCTTCAGACAAGCAACTTATGGAGGATGAGAATCCTAATTAATTAATGTGGTGAAGGAAGAGAAAGAAGATGCTTTACAAGCTGTTCAAAAATGAGGAACAGTCTGGTAGCACATTTTATGAAAAGACCAAAGTTTTCATCAGCTGTATGCCTTTAATAAATTGCATTTATTAATTGTGTCTATCTAGAAAAGTACTACCTGAGTCCTTCTGGACCTAACACTGTTTTTCTCCTACAAAGACTTCTCAAACCACAGCCAAAAAAAATTTTTTTTAGTGGAAATCAGCTTATTCTCATTTCAAGCAAACCAGTTACTAGAGTTAACAATAAAGATATTCTAGCCATTGGTATAATGGAATATTTAAGCCACTTGGAAGTTAAGGATATGGTCATGTAGCCCCAATATGTCCTGGGTTAAGAGCTTAAATTTTGCCAAGCCAAAACTGTTACAATTTTGCAGTAGCAGCCAAAAAACTAATACAATCTTTGGTTGTAGAAACAGAGGCATAGAATCAAAATCACGTGAAGTATTAGTTCCACTCTATAAAGCCTTAGTAAAACCACACCTGGAATACTGCATCCAGTTTTGGTCACCACATTGCAAAAAAGAAGTTGAGACTTTGGAGAACGTGCAAAGAAGAGCAACTATGATGATTAAGGGTCTGGGGACAAAAATAGCTTCAGTGGTTTGCTTAACAACTATGCAAAAAAAAAGAAAAAAGTCATAGGATTGGGCATGACTCTCTTAACAACCACCTTGCTTAGGTTCTGAAATTCTGGACACAATTGTGATCCTAAGACAAGGAGTATCTTCATTGCATGGTTACTTTGCAGCTAGATTGCTATGAGGAAAGACAACAAGAATATCAAAAAGGCTCAGCAGATGGAAACTGGTAACTGGTACCCAGAAATACAATAGGTTCATGTTAAAACACCTGTACTAGTTGACAACTACTATCCATCTGCAATTGATAATTTGATTTTAATCTTTAAGTCTATGAACAGCTTAGACCAGGGGTGTCAAACCCGTGGCGTCATGGTGGCATCATGTGATGTATCAGGACTTTTTCCCTCTTGGCTAATCTGAGCTGGGGTGGAGCCAGCACATGACACATCTGGCCCACAGGCCACGAGTTTGACACCCCTGGCTTAGACACTAAGGGACTGTACATCTCGATGTAAACCTGTCTAGGATCAAAGATCAGCAGAAGAAGGCTTCTTAAGGACATCTGTACTAACAGAGATCTGATTGCTGAGAATACAGGAATGGTTACCTCCAGCATTACTCTCAAGCTGTAGAATTCATTGCCTCCATTACAAGGCTTCATTCCCAAATTGTCCACTTTCTGAAAACTTGAACATTTTTTTTTAATTAAATCAATTATATTAACATAGATTCACATTTTGTTATGTTTTATCTTTATGTGTCTATAGAGATTCTCAGTCATCCAGGTCATGGTTGTCCCAAAGGTGCTTTTTCAGGAGGCAACTGGACTTCCTTGTTTGTTCTTTCAAGATGTTTCGCTTCTCATCCAAGAAGCTTCTTCAGCTCTGACTGGATATGGGGAATGGAAGGATTTATATTCCTTGACCGGCTGTCTGCAAGAGATGTTTTATCTTTATCTGTGTTGAGGCCCTACAGTTAAAAAGGCAAGGAAGTATTACCATGTTGCACAATTGTATGAGGGAACAAGTGCCCAAGAATAGATGCTCGCTCACAGATAGTTATTTTTTAAAATTCTCTTCTCCCCGTCCTTTCTTTTTAATCTATTTCAAATCATATATTATCTTAATTGTTCTGATTGCATTATATTCTCTCTTCCATTATTGAATAAATTCTTGGCAATTAAACCCCTTGACTTTTTATTTAGTTTTCAGAAGTAAGGTTTTTAGTTGATAAATTATATATAACCAACTACCTTCCGGTTTAATGAATACTTTTCCAGAGTCACAATCTTATTCATCCAAGCCTAAATGAACAAAGTAGGAGCTCTTTCTCTGCAAAAAGAGCTGCAGTATTTTTATGAGCCTGAATCCCTCCCCGATCCTCCACTTGTTAATTAAGAATAATGACTAATGTTTTAGCATTGTAGAAGATTCAATGCCCTGTGCCGGTCCTTTCAGTGAAGAAACATTTTTGGTAGGAAAAAAAAATTCATCCTTTACTGTATATCTGAAAATTGTTCTGATATGCAGATCCATAGTCAGTGAATAGTTCATCTAAATGTAAATCTAAATGTATATCTGAAGCCGTATGTATGTATGTATGTATGTATGTATGTATGTATGTATGCAACGAGACACAAGATAATTGTGTTTGCTATATCATCTCCCTCCCCCATTCTTGCATGTGCCAGCCTGTCTTCTATGTCCACAACCTCCCTTTACTTGAATAGGAAGATCAGCAAGTAGAATTCTTGAATTTATTAAGTTTCAGTTCTGCAAATATATAAGAATGGGGAAGGGGGATGATAAAGCAATCATGATTATCTTGTGTCTCATTTATATGTTCTTTTATCTTTCATATCAGCATAGCTTGATTATAACTCTAACGAACAGACCACATAAATAAGTACATGGCTGTATTCATACATGTATTGTATTTCAAGCCAGCCAATGTTCAAATGTCTTGCATCTGCACAACATGCTAAACCTAGTTAGTTTAAATTATGGTTAGAGTTTTGATATACAAATTTTTGCTTTTTGTTTAGCTTATAATTCAGTATATTGCACAAATCCCCAAAATGAATTAGTTCAGTTGTCAAATTAAGAACGTTGGACAAATCTAGCTATTGATAGGCTAAACATGTACCACCCGTGCATCAAATATAGTGTGTGAATACCCTTTTGGTATATGTTTAAAGGGTTTTAACTGGTCCTCTGAAAATGTTAAAGTGCAAATGCAAATTTCAAT